CAGTTTTGGGGCAAATGTTGGAGGTATTTCACTGATAATGATGTGCAGAGCCATTGCTGTGACCACCAGCATGCAGTGCTGTCTTCAGTGGGAAATGCAGAGGCTTGTCGGCAGTTGTTTCCTACTTATGTAGGTATTCACTTGGGCTGTTGCCTGGATTCTTGCGAGCATCTGCTTCCCTGAATGAGTCGGGATGTGGCAGGATACAACCTGGCTCCTCTCCTAAAAAGAAGAAATTATCTTGCTGGCTGCAATCCAAGCGTGATATGTTGGACAAACATTTGGCTCAGAGTTTAGTTTGGTCCTTGAATTTTGTCAGAGTAAAATTTTCAGGTGATGTGGAAAACGTAACGTATTACCCGAATGCTGAATAGCTACGACCTTGTGTGTTGCTGTGAAAACTTCCCTTTAAACCTCATGAGTGTTTCCCTTCCTGAGGTTCTCATGGTGTGACATGGGTAACACCTACTGTTTAATCTTCCTCTGCTGTAGCAGCATCCTGCTAAGTCCTGCACAAATTTCCCTAACAGGTTTTCTGCAACTTTTGTTTCAGATCAGGTAGCAGAGGGCCGGCTTGGTCCCTCGACTGTGGTGCTGGACCACACGAGCGGTTTTGAGGGGCTCCTGCTGGTCGATGATGACTTACTTGGGGTGAGTGTCATGCTGGGGACAGCAGAAAATGGTCTTGTGGGATTAAAAGTGCTTTGGGCTTCTTGGTTTGTTCTTCCTACCAGATCCCTGTCCCTGGCTTTGTGGTGTGTTGTAAATGGAGTCTATCCAGAAAGCGGCAGGATCCTGGAGGAGATGAGCTCTCCTAGGAGAAGGTCTAGCAGTGCCCCTAAGTCTCAGCAAGCTCTGAGTGGAGCTGTGAGGAAGGGGAAGGGTTACCCTGGTCCGGGGCCCCCCTGAAGAGCTTGGTTGGGCAGAGGAAAGGCCAGCAGCCAGCTTTCCTGTCCCTCCCTCCAGCAGACTGCCTCTTCCTTCCTTCTGGTCTTCTCTAATGGTGGCGAGGGGATCAAGCTGAGGCTTTCTTTTCTCCTTTGTTTCCACTGGCTCTGTGCTTGCTCCTTAGCTGACGTTCCTCATGCAGAGAATCAGCTGAAAGAATCCACTGGAATTTAATCCTTTCCCACTTCAGTATTTTCTGCACTCCTTTCACCCCTTCACTGTGCACGCACATCCCATGCTCCTGTGCATATTCCCTCCTTAATCTATGCATCTTTTTTTACGTCTAGCAGAGGAGGCTGCCCTGGTCTCCCCTTTTCCGTTAAGCCCCCGCTGTAGCTTACCTTGGGTGTACCTAAAACTTACCCTCATATCGGATCAGACTGGCTTGCCTGTGGATTCCTTGGTGCTACCTTCATTGCTTCTCCGAGGTCTGTCCTGAGACTGAGAGAATCAGGAGTTAACAGGGCTCAGTTTCTGGGCAGTGTGTTACCTGCCAGTCCTGGGCTTTAGTCTGGACACCCCAAGACTATAATTTTGTTCTAACTTGTCCAGGATTCATACATCTTGCCTATATAATAGTCACTTTTGTATACCTGTCACAAATCACTGGGGACCTGTCTGTCACCGCGCTGCCCTTGTACTGTTGCCATGCCGCATGCTTCACTGGGGTTTATGGAGCACAGAGGAGCTGTGGGGAGGACCTGTGTGGTTCCCCAGGGCCCGTCAGCTCCAGGTACAGCTGCTGGGATGCGGAAGATGTCCTGTCTCTTCCCTGTGCTGTGGTTGGGAATATCTGTACCTCTTGCTTTGGTTTTGAGGGCTGGGACAGAGGGAATGGGTAGGGCTGAGCAAAACTGGCTTTTGTCTGACTTTAAAATACCCTTTATTTGTTGGTCCAGGTGATTGGCCACAGTAACTTTGGGTCCATCAGGGCCACGACGTGCGTATTTAAAGGTAAGGAGATAAACCAGCGACGCTTTGAGAAAAGACCCTTAGTGTGTGGAGAGTTACACAACTAGAAAGCTCAGGAAATCCTGAATATATCCAGATGTTGAGCCCCCTCTTCCTCAGTTCATCCACTGTCTTTTCCAGGAAGTCTAGTGGATGGAGGATTGTGTGATGCTGGAGTGAAGAGGTGGGAGGGGAATGCTGGGGATATCCTGAAGATCTTTGGTGTGCCACGTCTATTTCTGTGGGAGCGGTGTCAGGTTCTGCTTCTCTAACAATGAGCCAGGTGGCAGGGATTTACTGTGGCATCTCTTTTTCTTTCAGGGAAATGGATTTTTGAGGTGCTCATCTCCTCCCAGGGACTCATGCAGATTGGCTGGTGTACCCTCAACTGCAGATTTAACCAGGAGGTAGTGTAACTGCTGCACATGGCACAGGGCTGCTCTGTGTTCCTCCACTGCTTTTGAAGTCAGTGTGGAGCATCACATTGGTGCTGTGCTCCTCTTGTCTGGCTGGGAGGCTGTCAGGCCCAGGCCAGCTCTTCTCAGGCACCGACTAGGACGTTTGATTCTGGGAAGGAATGTCAGCTGCAGGGTTTTGCTAACTTGCCGCTCTGCAACATGTGAGAGGGGAGGTGATGGGCATCCTGGGGTGCTGCTTTGACCAAAGTTGGAAGAGTAGGACCACCAGTACTCTTCTTCTGACCCAAAAATGAGTAGAGAGTGGTGGATTTCTCTGAACCAAAGGTGACAGGCCACTGGATTCACTCCTAGAGTGAGGGCTCTTCCCAGGCAGAGCGTGTGTGCTGTCAGCTGCTCTCCCTGTCTGCTGGTCTGCCCCTTAAAGCCGCTTGTGCAGTGAGAGGGATCCTCTGTGTTTGGTCTGCTCTGAGTCTCCTCTTTCATGCTTTGGTGCAGGAAGGAGTTGGAGATACGCCAGATTCGTACGCGTATGATGGAAACAGGGTGCGCAAGTGGAACGTGACTACCACCAACTATGGCAAAGTGAGTAGCTGTCCTCCCAGGAACGGGATGTAGGGTAAGGAAAGGAAAGCAGATGGCTCCTTCTGCTCACTGGATTCTGCTGGGCCTTGAGAAATGCCCTCAAACTGTCCTCCCTGCTTCAGTCTGCTCTTGGGGAGACTGTGTGCCAGCAATTGTTTGTACTTTAGGGGTGCTGGATATGCCGTGTGGGTGCTTTATTTAGCAGCCCCAGCAGACTGGTTCCCAGCATCGTGCTGCTGTTGGTCTCTGGAAGTCTCTGGTTCTCTGTGGCACATCAGAGGATGATGCAGTGTTGGGATAAATATACATTTGGTCCCGTGCATGTTCCTAGTGCTGGAAGGAAAAAAAGATCCCAACCAGTGGCTTACGTCCAGCTTCCGGAAGCATCTGAAAATGCGATGTGAGCTGCTGTGGGAAGGAACTCTCTCTTCGTCAACCCTGAATCACAAGGGATTGGTTGTGTTGCAGTCTTGTCTTCTGATGTGGGAACACCCTGGATATATGTTTAACCTTTTCTCTCCCTTTACTGCAGTCCTGGGCAGCAGGAGACATCGTCAGCTGTCTGATAGACCTTGATGAGGGCACCATTGCTTTCTGCTTGTAAGCATCTTTGCCCAGTTCCCTGCTTTGTTGGTGTCTGTGTGTAACATAAAGGTTTCCTCAATGCTCAGCAGGTTGCTGGGCCCTATTTCTGCCCTCTCCCCTTTAAGTTTGTTGGTAGTTCCAGCCTTTGCTTTTCTGCTTTGTGCTCAGAAACCACCTAAACGGGCTGTTGGGTCTCCTAAGTTCAGGTGAGATCATTGGGCAGAAAGACAAAGCTGCAAAGTCTGTGTAAAGTTTGCTAGGATTTTGGAGGGGAGGGCATCTCTTGTGATGTCTAGTACTAGGGTTGACTGAGCCACAGTAATTGCTTTTATGGTCAGCGTAGACCTTGCCTGTCCTAGATTCACAAGGAGCTGTGGAAAGGCTGATAAATCTCCAGCCTCCAACTCCTGTGCACAACGAGCAGGGGCCAGCCTGAATAAGAATTGTTCCCTGGCCTTAAACTATAGCCTGCAACAAGTCAGCCAGAATTAAAAACTCTTAAATGCTCCATGTCATCTTTTAGAGAAGAATAGATTGAGAGCACTATCCTTCAATTTCCATCAGCATCAAATGGATGAGGCCAAAAATGTCACCTGCCTTTCACATGTCCCGCTGGTTAGTTATCTCGTAAGGATTTGGGTTGCCCGTGAAGCTGAGCAGGCTCTGCATGGTGTGTAGATTCCAGCACCTTCCTGTGCTGTCGAATGAAAATGGGAGTGCTGCTGTGCTTCCCGTGGCTGTTACTCAGCAAAGCTGTGATGGCTGCATGTGTGCCAGGTTAGGAGTGACAGGAGGCATCGCTAACCCATGTGTCCATGTTGGCAAGTTGCTGGGTGGGGAACGCAGATGCCTGGATTGCCCCGTTGATCTCAAAGCCCTCCTACTGTAACAAAAGTCTTGTGGGTTTTCCTTCTTTCAGGAATGGCATGTCTCTGGGAACTGCTTTTGATAACATCACACGGGGTGCTGGAATGGCTTACTTCCCCGCCATCAGCCTCTCCTTCAAAGAGTCCGTTGCCTTTAACTTCGGAAGCCGTCCACTCCGATATCCTTTAGGTGTGGAGAGAGGAGGTCTGAAGGGAGAAGAGCCTGTCCTGAGGCCAGGTTTGGAGGCTGTAGAATACACATACCTGACTGCAGGTCACTTTCTTCTGTTGCACTTGTGCGCAGAGCAGGGACGGGGAGAGAAGAGCCGGATACCCCTCAGCTGGAGCAGAACTGCAGGGCACACAGGCATCAGCGCTCATCTCTGATGGTTTCTGAAATTAGATTTGCTTCTAGCTCTGAATCCGCAGCTACTGCTGCAGCTGGGGGCTGCCTGTTCCCAGGCACTCAGGTCCTGCAAAGATCTCACTCTCCAGTTTTGGAAACCCTGATGCTGCTGTGCTGCTGAGCCTCTTGGCCACTGGTCCGTCTACCTCCCTGCAACACAGGGCCTCTGATGCAGTAGGAGCATTGCCTGCTGCCTTCTTGTGTGAACGCTGAGACCTGCAGCGTTCCTGGATGTGCCTGGTGAGAGCTGTAGCGGAGGCTCCTGTCGGTCTTCCTGGTGAGAGCAGAAGCGTGGTGTGGAATACCTGCTTCTTGCAATACCAAGGAAGTGGGGATAAGAGCTTGTGGCTTGTCCATTTAGAAGGCACTGGGGTTTGAACTGTGACTGAGGCAGGTGTGGGTATAAAGTAAAACAGAGACACAGGCTTTTCCTTGCACAAGCAAAAGAAGCGCTGAAAGGATCAGATTGCATTTTACCTTAACACTTACCTACTTATCCAGTGGAAGGTTATCGCCCCTTGCAAGATCCTCCCGTTGCAGACCTGGTGAAGGCTCGCAAGCTATTGGGCTATTTGAAGAACGTGATCCATATCGGAATAGATGTGACGGTAGGCTAATGTCGCTGGGTGGTTCTGTGGGGCACCACACTGGGAAATGTGATTCTGTGCTTGTCGGCACATGCTGGCAGCTCAGGTGTTTCCCTGCACCTGAGAGTCTAAATGCTTGTGTGGTTTTGCATGGGGCGTGTACGTCCCTGGAGCTCTTTGGCTCGTGAAATGGTATTCCTGATAGTTCCAAGCCTGAAGTTAAATCATACTGGGCTTTGGTGTTCTCAGTCCTATGAAGTTTTATTCCTGTGCTATGCAGGGGCTGATGTTTGTTGGGGTCAGAACTGCTGGACTGGATTTTGCAGCCTTGAAAGAAGCTTGTTCACATCCTAAACTTTTTGCTGAAATCCTAGTGTAGGGATGTGGTGAAGTTCTGGCAGATCTGCCATGAGAACTGTTTTGGCTGTGGCACGGTTTGCTAGAAGCCATTTTTTTCTGCTAGGATGAGAGTTGATCTGTTTATACCCAAAACATAGGGAACCCCATCTGCTGTGGTCTTGGCTTGAATGGAGGCTGGCTTTACCAGCTGACCTGCTCTGCAGGGACTCCCCTTTACAAATTACCATGTACACTTGAACCCTTTTGGAAAAACAGATTGTCAAGGTGTGTGCATGGGGCTGATAGTAACCAACATCTGGACAGCACTGCAGCTCTCCAGAGGTGAGGGCCTGGCTGCTTTGCCATCCTTAACTGCTGTATTCAAGTTTTATAATGCAGTCATGCATGGGACAGCAAACAGTGGCTGCTCCAGGCCTCCGGTTCATTCTGTCATTGGTGTATGGGTGGATCGGGCTGGATCCCAGACAACTGTTTTTCTGGGTTTGTCGTTGCAGGAGGGGAAGCTGGTGGAGAAGGACACGTCCATGTGGCAGCTGCAGGGAGAACCCACAGTGCTGATTACACTAGCCCACATCTTCAATTATTTCTCTCCTCTCATGGTGAGTTTTGCCTGCCCATTGCAACCTGCTGTGGGTGCCTGCTGTTGTGCTTGCAAGGGAAGGTCAGCGTCAGCTTTTGCTGGGAAGTGACTGTGTCTCGGAGGAGTGTTGACCTGGCTCCCTGTCCTCAGTGCAAGGTTTACCTGGTGGAAGACGTGCTCATGACCTTCCTGTTGAGCATCCTTGAGCGAGGAGGGGCAGTGGAGGCCCATCCGCTTATTCAGCAGCTGCTGGATCTCATGTGGCTTCTTATGGAGGTGAGTTGCTAAGGTGCTGTTTCCTCCCCAGGGATCACAGGGAGACCCTGGGACATGGTGAGAACAGGAGCCTTCCCTAGAAAATGCTGGTAGTGATCAGCTTCTTTCCCTTCCTGGTGACAAGATCCCTTTTTTTGTGGTAGACCACCTTCTCACCTAGCTCATCTGGCTGCTGCTTCACACTTAGGGAGTGGGGGTTGAATGCAGAGTAGTTGGTGATGGTGACACTGGCAATGAGCTAACAAGACATTGCTAGTGTTCTCCTACTGCTGAAGGAGCTGGTGATGCCGAGTAACTTCCTGCTCCTGGCAACATCAAATTCATCAGTAAGAAATGGGTTGGTCTCTTTTTAGTGCTTATGTGGCTGTGCAGGTCTTAAATGCCACCCTGTGCCGCAAGAGGTCGATCAGAGTGTGCTGGACTGGGGTGGAAATGGGCACTGCACTCTCACCACCTCTGGCAGCACTGGGGAAAAACCTCCTCCAGCTTCCCATGCCCCTTCCTGTCCACGCTGGGTGAGGTCACTCCTTGCTGGGACACTTGTTTGAGCCACATTTGCCAGCCAGTGGGAAGCTGCTGCTGCTAGAGTGGTTACATAGAGCCAATCACTGCCAGAGATCCGCTTGGAGACAGCACGTCTGTTCTTTGGGGTAACAATTAACAAACAGGGGCACTGGCCCAGCCAGCTGTCATGAAAAGTTTTAATTGAAAAATTTAATGAGCCCCTCAGGCCCATCATCTTAGAAGGGAAGCAGAACGCTCTGGTGGGGCTGCTTTGTGGAAGAGTTGGCTCTCATCCTGCTGGTTGGCTATCAGTTGGAGTCAAAAACATGTACACTGTGTGTTAGGTAGGTTCAGGGGATTCGGGGATGGGTGACTCAGCCCAGCTAAATAGGACCTGGGACTTTGGGCTGGTTTGACTCATGCAGAAGCTTGTTTCCCCATAGCAAAGCAATGGCACCAACTTCTGCTTGGACTCCCTCCTGTGGAGTCAGATGGACAAACACCGTGGGTTCAGAGCACCTGCTTTTTCGGTTCAGAAGTGAATGCTTCCTTCCCAGGCCACACTCTGGGAACTGTAGCTGTTCCCAACTCCATGCCATCGCGGTTCCATGTGTTTCTTATTTTCTCAGGAGTATGAAGTGCACGAGTGCCTCAAGCAGCTCCTGATGTCCCTGTTGCGGGCTTACAGGTTCTCCCCCATCATCCCAGACCTGGGATTACAAGTGAGTTGCACTTCTGAATCTCCAGGAGTCTGTGATTAGCCAGCTTCTGTTAAGACCCCTTGTCCAAAGGTACATGACATTTTGGATTTTGTGGTTGTTTGATCCAGGGATAGCAGTTCTGTAACACTGTGCCTATTAGAGTCATATCCACTTCTCTAGATGGAGTCACTTTTTCTTCTCTTGTTTCCCTAGATCCACTACCTCCGGCTCACCATTGCAGTCTTGAAGCATGAGAAATCCAGGAAATACCTACTCAGCAATGTTCTGTATCCTTTGTGCCTCCTCTAGTCTCAGTTAGTGCAGCCAAGGAGACTGCAATGATCTGCAGGTCCCAGGAGGCAGAAGCCACCCCATCTCTGAGAGCTCATTTCTGCTTTCTCGGGTCTCCTCTGTCTATCCAACACCGTTCACTATAAAGTCCTGCTTTGAGGAGGGGGAATGGTGCCGTACAGGTCAAATGCTACTAGCACACAGGACTTCATTTCCACCTAACTGACCTCTCTAATGTCCCTAGAACAAAAATTTCAGAGCAGCCCAGCTGCCATGCTAGCATTTGGGCAGCTGCTGTGATAACTGTGGGGGGCTTCTCCCAGGAGAAGGGGGCTGTAGCTCTTGCAGAGCTTTGAGGGGTTGTTTGGAAAGGGGTCTCTCACTACATCTCTGGAAATGTGCCCCGTAGCTTCTCCTGGTGTAGCTTCTGTGCTGGCTTTAACTTGGCTGCAGCTTTGATGTGCTCCGTTCGGTTGTGTTCTTCTACATCAAGAGCCCGCTGCGGGTGGAGGAGGCTGGCTTGCAGGAGCTCATTCCCACTACGTGGTGGCCAAACCGCTTCACCAAGGAGGTGAGTAAGGGCACATCTGCTAAGGAGAGTGAAGAAATGCTGTGGCATGCTGTCCCCATCGTAGAAAACTGAGGAAGTTGGATGGCCCGTGTTTCCAGCTGTGTTAGCACTGGTGGACTCTGCAGAGCTGTGTGAGAGTTGCAGCCTCTCCATTGCCCTGTCGTCTTCATTGTCCCTTCGAGGGGACATTTGGGTTGTGTCACTCAGGATGGGGAGGCAGTGGGGCAGTTTTCTGTGGCAACAGATTTGGAAGGGAACCTCACAGCATCTAAGGAATTACAGGTTGACTTGGGTGTCCTCAAAATATCTTGCTTGTCACAGGGCCTGTTCAGGTGTGCTGCCAGCTGCGGTCGTGAGTTGTTTCAGGGAGTTTCTGCTCTCCATTGAGCAAGAAATTTTCCCGGTGCAGTGATCTCCTACTAATCAGTGTCTGTCTCCCAACCAGGGCAAGGAGAGTAAGGAGGTGAAGGAGGAGAGCGCTGAGGAGAGACTGAGGCGGCGGGCGTATGAGAGAGGCTGCCAGCGGCTCAAGAAGCGCATTGAAGGTCTGTGGGGAAGCAGAGGAACTGCCAGGATCCCACACCTTCTGTGCAGCCAGGGGGACCAGCCCTTGAGCTGTTTCCAAATCTCCTTCCCAACCTGAAGCCTGGCTGCGTTCCTGCCAGGACACAGCAGCAGGGGCCAGCCGTGCCGTTATTTGGTGGAGCAGTACGAGTGCTGGGACCCCACTGCACAGACCTGCGGCATCCCACCATGGAACACGAGCAAACCGGAATTCCCCTTTAGGGGCGTTGTTTGTCAGCTGTGGATGAATTTATTGCTAGGTGGCAGAGGAGAAAATTCTCCCAGTGATGGGATTAGCATTCTGCTGGCACCGGTTCTCCCTGGGCCCCCTCGGCTGGGGAGGTGACCTTTCTCCTGGGGACAGGGTGCTGCAGCTGGGGCTAATGTGGGTAGTAGCTTTCCAGTGCTTGTTTTCTGATGGCAGCCATGTGTCCCCGTTTCAGTGGTGGAAGGTCTCCAGGTTCAGATTCTGAAGCTGCTGCTGAACAATAAGGACAGAGGAGGGGTAAGTGCTCTGTGGATCTTTTGCTGCAGTATCTCCCCATCACAAGACTTCTATAGGTTTACCACCTGCTTTTCCTTCTGCCAGGGGGAAGCCTCCAGATACATTTTCCTAAACAAATTCCGCAAGTTTCTTCAGGAGAACGCCAGCAACAGAGGGGTAAGTCAGAGGGCCAGTCTTCCTGCAAGCCTCACCCTGAGAGCTCTCTGGCGCCTTCAGGCTGGGAGCTCTGCCCTTCTGCCTGGGCCGCTTCCAGCAGTTGATCAACTGGCAGGGAGCGGGTAGGAGGGGGAAGATCTCAGGCAGCTTACCCAAGTCCTATGCAGTGATTTATGGAAGGTGGTCCTTGGGAACAGCCTTGGGTGGAGCTGAATGTCCTAAAACCTCTTGGGGAGCATGGCTGTGGAGTGCTGTGCCACAGCTGGCCTGCTGGCTTTGGCATCCTCTCCACTGCTGAGGTGGGGACTGTTCCTCTGGCCCTGGACCAGGCTGTTGGCCTGCAGCTGTGGGAGGTAGGCATCTGCCGTTGCAGGAAACCCTTTCTTCCCTTGCATCTCTCTGTTCATGATCAGCCCTATTGTTTGTGGTGGAGCATGTGGTATCCATCCTCCTCTGTCAGACCAGCTTGTTGTTTCAGTGCCCAGGACTTTCTGGAGGTGGAAGCTGCTGCCTACCGTCAGGGCTGGGCTCTCTGCCAGTGCTGGAAGCTAGAGATGATAGCAAGGCTGAGAACACAAAAGTTTCTGCTTGCCCCATGTGGCCACTGGGACTAAGATGCATTTTCACACCTGCCCTGATGGCTGAACTCTCCTTCTTGCCCTAGAACTTGACTGTGTTGTGCCCGCCAGAGTACATGGTGTGCTTCCTGCACCGCCTCATCACTGCCCTGCGCTTCTTCTGGGACGGCCACAAGGCGAAGAGCCCTGCTGCGCTCAGCAGTGAAGGTGAGGCTGGGAGAGGAGCTCTGGGGACATCTCTGTGGTTAGCACAAGGTTTGCCTCTTGGCAACGCTCTCCAGGATGCTCTAAATTTTGTGTTTCTCATGGGTGCCTGAGCCATCTGTCACCCTGTGTCTGTAGTTCCTGGTCACCTGGGAAAAGCTGGTTTCCCCTGGATGCTCTGGAGCAGAGTCCAATATTGATCATGGGTCTGCAGGAAGGCAGCTCAGTGATCCCATAGTCAAAGTTTAGGGGAAGATATTTGTCTGTTTTTGTGGTTCCCAGCCTGAGATTAAGCGGAAACCAAGTCAGTGCCAGTTGTTTTCCCACCCTCACCTTGCCTGTCCTGCCATGATCTGCTTGGCACCCCCTTCTCTTACTTTAGGCTGACCCTTTCTCTGGACTCAATAAGTGTTTTACAGTTGTTGTGGGACTAAGTGACAGAGCTGGAGTAGCCAGGGGGAGAGCTGACAAGTTTTTCTGATGATCCAGTTTCCCCCAGTGACTGTGGCTGGGAGGGAGGAGGTGCTGGGAGGCTTGTTGTCGATGGCCATCAGTTGCTTCTGTTCCTGTGTGGATATAATGAATCACAGAATCACAGAATGTTA